ATTATTATTATTATTATTATTATTATTATTATTATTATTATTATTATATTTTTAAACCAGAGCAACCCAAAGATCTCTCCAGTCATGTCCCACAGGAGCGTAACTCCAGAGTCCTCTTGGTTGCCTGCAAGGTCTATGTTTTGCTCGGGGATTCAGGCTCCTCAGGGTCTAATGCTGTCCCCTGGAGGTGTTTTTGGGTCAGATTCTGTATTTTCCTGGAGGAAAAAGAAAACAACCCCAACCCACGCACCCTGACCGTGCACCTCTCGGACTGCTCGGGCCCCATCTCTTATTTAAGTGTGTATGTTTATTGTACATTTGGTGACTGTTGTTGTGTTCAGAGTCTCGTGCAACCTGGCAGGTGTAAAAAACACCCACCCCCCCCGAAATTAATAAATCTTTTTCTCTTTTTTTTTTTAAACACTTGTGATGATTGATCTTTTCTGGGGGGGGTGGTGGAGGGGGTGAGATGTGTTCAGTGGGGGGTGAGTGAAGTGGGGTGTAGATAAAGATATGGAAGTTATAGGGAAAAATACATTTGCTTCCTGATGTCCCACAACACAGTCCAAGGATAGGAATTTCACCACAGCTGCTGATTCAAGAGGACATCTTCCTGTAGTCCTTAGTTTTCAGCTGCTGTGGTGAAATTCCTATCCTTGGACTGACACATGTCCCCATCCCAAGGTTATCGCAGGTACTATCCTGAGATATCTGCCCTCAAAGTATGACCACCCCTCACTGGGTAAAATGTATGACCTCCACCTAAATGTAAAGAAAAGTTAAGACTGGGGAGAAGCTATGGAAGACTCCATCGTAACTTCTGGGATCATTCACTCTGGGGTGAATCTGTCTCTCCCCCATAGATGCCCCTTGGGTAAAAACTGCATGAATGATTATCTCGACCTCCCCTTCTCTGGGGATTAGAGCTTGTCTCTGTATTGCTTTGAACATGTTTCTGCAGTCAGACACTATCGCTGGCAGTCCTCAAACCTCAACCCATCACAATGTTATTAATATTCTGTAAACTGTTAACTGAGTCCTTCAGGGGTGCTGTCAGTGGGTGAAGGTGTGGAGATCCTGGACGGGTCTCTCTGTTTGCTACATTAAAATTTAAAATACAATTAATATTAGCACAGCATATCAATGACTAATCCACTTAATAGATTGCAATCAAGCCATAGAAACCTACAACTGATACGCGGCTTCAGAATTCCACAAATACTTTTTTTTTTCCCTGAGAGACTTAGAGAATCATTTTCTTTCAGAAGATCCTCTGAGCGCTGGAGATGAATTCCAACCTAAACTTCCCAGGGGAATCATAAATCACAGCAATCACTGTGGAATCAGTGATCTGGTGAACTTGGTGGAGGGTCCCCATGGGGGGACGGAACAGCGGGTACGAGCGCCTCGGCCTTCCCGAGGCGCGGACAGCCTAACTAAGCACTCAGGGTTCGAGGAAACCTCCCGTTTCCAGCGACGCGGGTCCCGCCTGTCGCGACGGGCCCTATGGCGACCAGCACCGACGCCGCGGCCGCCGCCGCCATGGCGGCCTGAGGGGCGGCCCCGCGCAGGCGCGCTGGAGGGGGCGGTCGCGCAGGCGCGGGCAGCGCCCGCCGCCTTCCGCCTTCGGCCGGGCCGCGTGAGGGTATGAAATAGACCGATTTTCTCTCTTTTCCCGCCTCCCACCAGGGTTTAAGCCTTTTTTATATTGTCCTGTTCTTATTCCGCGTTTTCCATGCGTTTTCTCCCAGCCCAGAGCTGCCCGGCTGTTGCAAACCGTGCCGCTTGGCCCTGTCACAGCTGCACGTTCAGCCTGAGACAAACCCCACCTCACACCTGACCTTCGGTTCTGCGCCTTAAAACCGCTCTCAGGGTTTAAATGCAGATTTTCATGGTGTTTTGCAGTACTGAAACAGTTCCTGCAGGTGGGAAGTGAATGGGTCACCTGTGCTTCCCAGTCTACCTGGTATTCCCTGTCTGGAAAAGCCTGAGGGCTTTTCCAGGGAAAAAACAACCCTGTGACGGCTCTGTTAGTGTGACCTGTGTTGTAATTGAAGAGGAAATTTTTATATAAAATTATATATATATATTAAAAAAATATGCGTTGTAATTGAAGATTGCATTTTAATACAAGTATATGTATTAAAAACATCTTGTTATATATGTATGTATGTTGCAGCCCAATGTCACAGCTTGCATTTCAACAACCACTCATCAAAGGTGGCTTCTCAGCCATTCCTCACCTGGGAGTGGGTCTGTCTGGGTTTGGCATTTTTGGATGTTCAGGGCTTTATTCTCCTTGTGCAGGAGCAGGAGGGGGTGAAGGATGGACTCCCTGGACCACATGCTCACGGACCCCCTGGAGCTGGAGGGCAATGGCAGTAGGATCATGGAGGACTGTATGCTGGGCACCACCAGGGTCAGTCTGCCTGAGGACCTGCTGGAGGACGTGAGTAGTGCTGAGACACTTTAACTTTTCATAATCTGGATTAAAAACATGTTTAACTCCCTCTCTGGGGGTTACAGAGCAAACTGAAAAGAGGGGAGATGTTTCTGACTGCCTAGGAAAGGTGTCAAAAAGGGCTTTGATTAATCTCAGGAAAACATCTTTTGAATCAATTCTGTTATATTCTTATTTTGAAGTTGCTTTTAAGAAAGCTGTTACAAGCTTTGAATGACTTTTCTGGTTGTTAATAGTATCAATTTCCTCACCTTTCCTCTTTATGCTGTGTTGTTACTATATTTGATTAGACACTGTCTCATGACTGGTGCTAATTCACCACAGAAAGCCTCAAGGACTAGATCATTGTCAAGGACCTGGATGCATTTTCTTCACTGTTGTTTCTTGCTTCCTTTAGCCTGAGATCTTCTTTGACGTTGTCAGCTTGTCCACGTGGCAGGAGGTCCTGACAGATGCACAGCAAGAGCACCTAAAAAAATTCCTGCCTCACTTCCCTGAGAACAACCGGGAGCATCAGAACAAACTCATCTTGGCACTGTTTGGGGGGGAGAACTTTCGGTTTGGGAACCCACTGCACATCGCCCAGAAACTCTTCCGGGGTCAGTGAGCTTCTGGGTGAGTTTGGGGGAAGTTCTGAGCCAGCAGTGACACCTCAAGTGTGTGTTGTCTCTGTCGCAGATGGACACTTCAACCCCGAGGTGGTGAAGTACCGGCAGCTGTGCTACAAGTCGCAGTACAAGCGCTACCTGCGGGCGCAGCAGCAGTATTTCTACAGGCTGCTCAAGCAGATCCTCACCTCCCGCAATGTGAGTCTACTCTGCCATTGACAGTTTGTCTTTATAAAACATGCCATGGTGCCTTCACAGCTCTTTGAGGTCTCTCCTGTAATGAATTTAATGAGTAATGTTTCTGGTTTTTACAGTGGCCCAGAGAGAACACCAGACCCATTGTTATGTTTGCAGATTTTGGGTTTTGTAACTCATAGCTCTCAGTTGTGTGTAGTGTCTTTTTTTGCATGCCCACCTTGCCCCCACTTCCTGCATTTGCCCCTTTATAACTTACTGTCTTCTTAACAAGTCACTCTGCCTTTGTTTTCAACCATTTTTGTCACTCTGAAACAAGTACAGTTGCTAAATGCATAGTTACAAAATATGTAGATACAAAACTCTAATCCTAATGCCTGTAAATCCCTGAGGAAGTCTTCCTCTATAGATACTTCTGTGAGCTAATTGCTGCCAACTGAAATCAGTTTGTTGTAGATACTTGCTCACTTATCTTTTATTGCATTTAAGACATTGAAGCATATGGGATGTATGGATGAAGGTGAAAGTCTGTCTTATAAAATGCCCAGTAGTGTTATGGGAAATAGAGAATCCCAGAAGGGACACCTTCCACTAGACCTTGTTGCTCCTGGCCTTGAACACTTCCAGGAATGGGCAGCCACAGCTTCTCTGGGCAACAATACAGAATACATAGGAAGTTATTTCCTCTGTAGCCATAAGGGGTAAAATGTTTTCTTTAAATGAGGCAATATTCCATGTCTGTGTTACATACTTGGCAAGGAAACTACGTCTCACACCAATGGTTAAGTTCTTCTCAAATGAGATACTATTGTGTGTGCAGATGAAGGGGCAGAAACTTTGCCTTGCTTTTTTGATGGTTTAAAATCCTGAGTCTAAAATCCTGTATGTGGCAGATACTGATCCTTCCTAAGGGTTCCCTTATACAGGACTGAGGTGCTGACCGCACCAGCTCCGCATGGGAACCTTGCTGGAAATACCTGAGCTGAGCTTACCTGTCCTGGCTTTAAGAACCGTAGCTGACACAGCTAATGTTCCATTAATCTCTTCTTCCAGCACTTGCTGGAATTAGCCAGGAAAGGAGGCCCTGACATGACCCTGAGGAGAAGGCACTTCCCACCAACATATGACTCGGAAGAACGAGACAGACGAACACATCAGCGCTACCTGAAAATCCTGAGGGAAGTGAAAGAGGAGTGTGGAGACACTGCCTTGTCTTCTGATGAAGAAGGTAATGCCCTGGGCTGAACTAAAGTCTCGAGGTGTGAATGGAGAAAGACACACTTTTGATGTGGGGACAGTGTCTCTGTCAGAACGATGAAATCTGGACTCTAGTTTTACTGACTGTGATCTAATGAACATGAGGTAATAGAATTACATAGATTGGTTCTAAGTCTTGCAGAAGTAAATTTATTTTTCTCTTTTAGAACTAATCTCTTGGCCTCCAAGTTCTCCAGCACGTTGTTCAAGTCCACCAGTTCCCCTGAGAGTGATCCCCACATTGTCAACCTTGGACATGAAAACAGCAGGTGAGAACCAAACCAGGGGCCAATACAGATTTAGAGAGGAGAATTACTTTGAGACCTTGCAAGAAATCATCTTGAAAATGTATTGTTTGATGAAAACTTGTAATGCTTCATATCTGCAGTCAACACAACAGTTGGTTCTTCT